GGTCTGTACAGCAGGCTTCCTTTATTACATGGACTGAGAGTATTTTTTATCTGTCCTTCAGTTTCACTGCTATTAAAGATCCTTATCGAGATAGAGAACCAGTCCGAAGTAGTTTTACACCAACTTGGTTGAGACAAATTTGATTTCCTTCTCTCCTCTCTCATCTATGGCATCTCCCAATCAGACCTCAGCTGTTCTCTTGGGATGTGGGTTAGACACTTGACCCTAATCGGAACATGCTGCTTGGCTTCTCACTGGTTCTCTGAACTAGAGACCAGATGTTCATCGGCAGTATTAAAGATACTGTTAAATAGCCAAAAGTAATCTACTAGACATACTTCTCTTCAGAAATTGAGAAGTACATAAAAACCCAAGCTCAGTATCCTGTCTTCTGACTGTGACCAGTGCCAGGCACTTCAGAGGGAATCCTCAAGTGATGACAACATTTGGGGTAATCAGCGCCATCTTCCTCCATCCGTTGCCTCTTTCCACACTCTTGGATTATTACTTGCAGGAATTTAAAAATCCTGGCTGGCCTGTGAGTTCCAACAAGGTTGGTTTAGCGTCCTTAACAACTCTGTGAACAAACAGGTTTCTTGTTCTTTGCACATCGGAGATCAGCGAGTTTCCCGAACGGACTTAGTCTCTTTCTGAAGATTAGCGCCCCTACACTGCTTTGGGATCTCAGCCTGATTTTTAACTGTGGCATGGAACAACCCTTGGCATCATTAGCTGTTCACTTACTGCTGTATCTGTCGGAAGGTGTGTGACGGCACGTCGGGGTCCCCTGTCTCCTGCACCCCGAAATGGCACAAACAGACTGCACCAGCCGGTGGACTAGAGGAAGGTTATTGCATATCTGGTTACAGGAACTGGGCTAGGATGCCTCAGGCCCCCTTGAGAGGGGGGAGACTGGGCCCCTAACCTCCAGCCCCTTCCCCTAGGCTCTCCTCCATGCTCCCAGACAGTAACTAACCAAATTCCCTTCCAGCCCTGCCCCCCAGCCAGGGCAGCATCCCCCTTCCTTTGTTCCTCTCCATGGGGGGGTGTCTGGTTCAACAGGTTTGGCGACACCTTTGCCTAGTGAGGTTTTCCCTGCTGGGTCTTGCTCCAGACAGCAGGGGTCACCACAGCCCAGCAAGTACCCCCACTACGTCACAAGGTGGCCTTCCTAGACAGGGGCTTTAATGGCAGACCACCCTCCCTCTGCCTTCTCCTTGGAAAGCAATGCATCTTTAGCACCTCGTCCAGAGTTCTTAGGGGGCCTCGACTTTATACCAACCAAACCACTTCCCTTCTGTTTTTTTCCAAGCCCCATCAGTCTACAGAAGTCGGCTTTTCTTACCTTAGCTGTTAAGAGGAAACTACTCAGGAATACCCTTTAGACTCTTTGTTTCTATTGCAGAGAGGTCTATGGGAGCAGAGACTTGGTAAATGGCTCTCTTGATGTATTATTGCCTGTCATGGTCTTGCAAAGGTTCTACTTCTAAGAGTGACGGCCTGCTCTACTCCCTCTTTGTCTGTAACTCCACTCAAAGAATCTCCAGTTGCTGAAATCTTCAGGGCTGCAGTAGGGTTTTCCAGCTGCTATTCCCTGAGTCACACCCAGATCAGCTGCAGCAGTGGACAGCACAGTTCCGTCTTTCTTTAGCCACAAACACTCCTCTAAAACTTCCGCCTCCTGACAGTGTTGCTGTGAGGAAGTCGCCTGAAGTGGAACACGCAGGGGGTGGTACTAAAAGGAGAGGTTACTCCTCTTGTGCTGTAGCCAGAGTTCTTTGAGCTGTGTGCCCTATGGGTGCTTCATTACTCCCCTCCCCCCCCCCCCCCCCCCCCCCCCTCGGCGGGCGTTCGAACCAAGGACAGTTCACCCACATGGCTTCCTACAGATTCAGAACAGACCATGTAGGGCACATGGCTCAGGCAGAGCGGGTACTGTGACCAAAGGTGCAGGCTGCCCAAGGTGAGACCTCCTTCCTCCAACAGACTTTCCTTTTCTTGCGTAACACGGCCACTGTATGGTTCTAATGTAATGAAACACACATTAATCGTGCAATGTTTGGGCTCCTCTGAAGACTGCCAATTCACTGCAGTTCTCTGTGACTTACAGAAAAAACATCTCCTGGTTTAAGCAGAAAGTAAAATGTTGCAAGACTGTCTCCACTAGGTGACACTAGAACTACAAGTGGCTGCTCCACTCCAGAGATGCCGCACTCCGTCTCCATCTTTGCCTCGTGCTGTCACTGGGCTGCAAACATAATTTATTAGAACTGTGAACGCTGGTTACTTCAGAGGTGAAACTGCTAAAACATTCCAATTTATCTTTTGGAAAACCGCTAGTAATTGATTTTGCTTAAGGAAAATTATTCTGATGTGGCGCACAGAGACTCTTTCCTCATCTGCAGTAAAGATCCTTTGCTTGTAGCAGAATTAACGAAAAGCTAAGATGAAGGGTTTCTGCGCGCAGTTCTAGGTGAGAGAAGGCTGTTTGAATCATGTGTGAATGTGGCATTCGAGTAAGAGTTAGTGAGACAGAAAAACAGTTTGCCTCTCCTACCGCTTAAACTAAATGGTCGATTGCAGAGAGAAGCGGGACTCTGAGAAGTCCTATATATCAAGTCACTTCAGTAATAAAACCAGAAGGATTTTTTTTGGTGAAGGGTAAGACATCAGGCTGAGGCTATTGTGACTGATCCTGAAAGGAGGAATGTAGCCTTCATGGCATCTTGCTGCCTTGCTAGAGCAATGACTCTGGATGGATTTAGGCCCTAAAGTAAAATATATGAATTCTGCAGCAGCTCCTCAGCTACATGGGATGCATCCAGGATGTATGGCCTGTGCGGGGCTGGAATGCTTCAGTTCCCAAAGAGATGAGTATATCACTGAAATGTCTCTTTAGGAAAAACAGAGCCTGCTGCTGATCCATCTGTCATGCTGTCTATATGCTTTCTGCAGCCATCTCCTAATGCGCTGCGGAGTCCAAAGCTACAGCAGTGTCTCGAAACTGAGACAAGGGTCATAAACTTACAGGAGATTAGTGTTGTGTTCCTGGTGAGCCGATGATCTATCCCTCTCCAGGCATCTCAAGGCAAACGCCGCAAATCCAGCTCGTGTGACGGGTGGGGAGTGAAGGTTCCGTATGTGACGGGGGCTCTTTGCGGGCACCGGGTGTGCAAGTGAGACGTGGGATTGGCTGGACGAGTGGCGCCTCGTTACTTCAGCCGGGAGAGAGAGTTTCTTTGCTGTCATTTCCAAGCTACCACAGTAAACTGGGCAGAGACCCGGTTCCCTCGTGGGCTAGTGACTCCCATCCTGCCTCAGCTCCTTCTGGCCGAAGCATTGGAGCCCACAGCAGAGCCGCTGTAGGCTTCCTGCTCATTGTTGCTCATCTTGGCTCCTCACCTGTGGCTTTCCTAGGTCTGCTGAGGAACCCCCAGGAACTTGGTGACAGAGAGAGAGCGCCTCATGCTCTGCTCTCCATCTAGGTCATGACATTACCCAGATGCATCTGGTGAATTATTTAGTGCAGCTTGTAATGTACACTGCCTCTCCCTTCGCTGTGCCTTAAGGGCATCTGACGCTGAAAGACTAGCACTGGCTTGTGCCGTTGAATGTGCTGCAGAGATTTCCTTTGCCCTTCTCTTGCTGAAACACTTTTCCTGGCAGCAGTGATGTTTATGGGGTGTGAGCAAAAGCTCTGAATCGGAGTCGTGTGTTGGTGGAGTGTCTGCTGGGAACAGAGGAAAACAAACACCCCCTGCAAGCTATTAATTGGTGGCTTCATTGCTTGCCTGGAGGCTGCCTTCCTTTGAGGCAGGCTTGCTCAGAAAGGCCTTCCGCTCTCTGCTGACTTAATTGAACTCTTTCTCGTTGCTGCTTTCTGCAGGTCAGATGCAGAAACCTTTTGAAGATGCCTCATTTGCGCTGAGGGCTGGGGAGATGAGCGGACCAGTTTTCACAGATTCAGGGATCCACATCATCCTACGCACGGAGTGAAGTGCCTTGGTGACACGTAGAAAGGAAAGGGCGAGGGGAAGAAAGGAAAAAACCCTGCTCCAACCCTGCACACTCCTGAATGAACTTCATATATCTAGTTTAAAAAACCTCATTTCATATCTCAATCCCTTCTGTGGCACCTGACACAATGTTTTCCACCTGTAGAGATGCATGGTTAGCCAAGGGTGAGAATGCAATCCAACTAACAGAGACAGTAGCATCTTTCATAAGCAGAGAATGTAAAAATTCTCCGGCATGCCACAGCCGCTTGAGTTTTATATTGACAATCCCTCAGTCGAGGAGACGTGTCAATGCTAAAGTTCACACTTCAGTGCTTCCCACATCCACCGTATTAGAGAGAGAGTATTTATTGCAGAACTGCACTGATGGTGGCAAAATTGACTTGTGAGCTCTGGTGTTTAAGATGGAATGAAATCTCTGTCCTGCCCCAGCATCCCTGCACTGCTTTAAAACCAAGTTTTATCTAAAATAAGCATCATTCGGTCTGGAGCCCAGTTGGTTTGTAGAACAGACTGTCAAAGCTGTTGATAAATTGATGTTAAGATGCCATACTGGTAAGGCCTTCACTGCCACCTGTGTGTAACTTCCCTTCGTGTTGCTGCCTCAGTGAAGAGCGTGGGTTGTTGGTCCTGCCAGACAGTGTTAACTGGAGCTTCCACTTCTGTTGCATGGGCTTAAAGCTCGAAGATGCTTTTTGGTTTGTGATGAGTAGAAGCAAAGGGGGGTTAATGGCCAGTAGTTCCCAGGGCAGGAAGATCAGTAGCTAGTTAAGCTGTGTAGAAGTATGTAGAATACTGTGTTAACCATTCCTGCGTGAGGTCACTCCATTATTCTGACAGTACCGTTGAGTAGGAAGGACTGCAGTGGGGCGAGAGCTGTTTCTTCAGAGCTTCTCTGGACCCACCAGTGGTTGAATTGCTGTAAGTCGCTGTTTCCAGTTACACTGTATTGCTCATGTTTAGTAAATACCAAACCAAACCCGATGAAGTTCCCAGCTTTGGTCCAGTGCAAAGATGCTGTATAGTTCTGGTTCTCTAAAGCAGAAAATAAAGCCCTCTCCAGTTGAACATTTCCAAAGCTCGGGCATTGATTATTTCTCCCCCTTCCCTCTGGATTGTACCGATCTCTTTGGTCCTGGTTAAAAAAGAAATCCCCGTGCAGCAGGTGTAAAGCAGCCGTGGCCAGTGTGGTCTGAAATGGAAATCTACCTCCAGTGATGTTAAACAAAACCATCCTCATCTGTTCTTTCCGGGTCTTCAAAGACAATCAGACATTAGCCTGCGACTGACGGGGGTGGGGGGGAGTGACAGATTCTGCCACTTGGTTAGTGCCTTGTGCAGTGTGAGGTGCGACTCCGTGCGAGTAGGAGGGGTACATCAGTGTCTGGTTTGGTCACTTTCCCAATTTCCCTTAGTTCTGCAAATCTGCAGAGGTTTTCTTCCTATCACACCAGCCATTACAGAGAGTGGCTCCTTGGAGTGATTTAAAAATCCCCCTCTTGTTTAGAATGAGGAAAGGCAACATCTCCCAGAAGCTCCAGCCAATTAAGATGATCACCCAAACCAAGGAGCCTCCGAAAATGAGTATTGCTTGCAGTTCTGCTTCTGCTCTTACCCTTGCGCTTGCATATCAGATAAAAGTTTGTCTCCATAGCAACATATTAAAAAAATACTCTCCCAGTTGTGGGGTGACTCAGGTGAGAACTTGGAAAAGGAAAATGACCCCCCGTCACTGCAACGCCCTGCGAACAGGAGCACGTCAGTCTGGAGAGTGGGGCTATGGCGATCTAGCTGAGGAAGTGGCTTTCCGAAGCTGGATTTGGCCGTTGTTTTCATTTCCAGATTCACAGCGCAGCACTGCTTAGTGAGGAAGGCCCACAGGCAGGGCCAGGAGCGGCAGGCCCAGCCAGGTGCAAACCAACCTCTTCTGGTAGGATTGGAGTGAGGGGATAACTAATGGAGCACAGGCCCTGGCTTGCAAACTGCTCAAGAAGTTGAAGCCTAGTATTGAGCAGGGGAACTGCCACAAAATGTGAGTGGGATTCCAAAACCCATTTGCTGTTTTAGCCGGCCAAGGCAAATGGCCCCGGTTAAAGGAGGCAAGAAGCGGTTTACTCTGATTGGGTGTCTGCCCCCCAGCGCTAGCAGGGCTCTGTGCAAAGGGCCTGCCCCTGCCGCCCGTCCCGTAGAGAAGGAAGAGGAGGCTGTGTGTTTCAGGGCATAAACCAGCAGCTACTAAATGTTGCCCCGTGGCCCGCCTGCAACACCCTCTGCGGGGCTGGAGCACCAGTGCCGGGGAACCCTGAGCCTTGTGGGCCAGTCAGGCAAGCGGGGCTGGATCCGACCCACGGGCTCTGCCTGGCGGGGGGAGGAAGCGGCTCCGTGTGCTCCTGTTCCCCCTCCATCTCCCCCAGGCTGGGAAACAGCAGCGCAGCAAAGCGCTGCTCAAGGCTTTTCCCTGCCGCTCCGTAATCACAGTCAGTAGGAGCAGGGGAGGGTGACTGAGAGCAGTGGGGCCATGGGCATCCCTGGGGAGCTGCGCAAGATAAGCGCCCTCAACGCCCTGCTACCACTCAAACCCCCCACCCTCAACCTGCTCCTGCACCCTGCCTC